TTTTTTTCAGTTGAGGTTTTTGGTAAACCGAGCCTCTGAGAATTTCCGGTGACAGTATGTGCTGAAATGCAAAATGGAATGGATTTGCTGAAAGCAGCAACTAAGCAGACCATTTGAAAGAAGCATCTCACCTTCCTCTCTGCACATATTGGGGCTTTTAATGTTTACTTGCTGATCTTGGTAACAGTCCCATTTTGGATCCATGAGGCCAAGGGGAAGAGCTTGAAAGTTCCCTTTTGCAGAGGCTACTGACAACCTGCCCCACCAGCTACTGTGGTTTCTATGAGACACTTCAAGATAGACAGACATTAATATTTCCTAAACTCCAGTCTTCATAGCAGCCCCCTATAAGCTCAGAAGGACATCAACACAATGATGGGGGAGTTCTCGAGGCAGCCTGAGTATCTTGAGCAACACATAGCTTACCAGGCCATGTGGCCACTCTGACATGCTCCCCATTTCTAGATGAGCAGTGTCCCCACCTCAGAGCTGTCAATCCCTTTCTTGGGCCAAAAGAATGACTGCTGGTCCTCTAAGCCCCAAATTTCTGGGGGAGGAAGGGAAGAATGGCAGCCTAGCTTTAAGGGATCCATCACTGCAGCAGTAGCACAAATGCCTATGAAGCCTTCACCTTTGTACATTACTGCAAGGAAGAAAGCCCAGCAATCTGCAGCAGAGCCTCTAACCCTTTTTCATCTCTTCGCTCCTCTACTGATGCTGTCTGAGAGCTCAGCAAAAAGCCATCCCACAAATAGCAGCATATCTGCTAATGATGGGGTAGAGCTAAGTGTGTTTATCCCTTGCTGCCCCATCCTGGTGCAACAGAAGCTCTGGCTAGGGGTGACCTGCAGAAGTTGAGCGAGCGAGGTCCTGTGACCCTTTACTGAGGTACTTGCCAAACTAATAACCAATTTCAGCAGTGGTGCCATGACATGATCTTGAATGGAGACCAAGAGGAGGAGTTGTCTGCAGAGCCAAGCCAAACACCGTGGGCACAGCTCCCAGGAGAAGGGGCATCAGAGCTTGTGCTTGGCTGGTTTTCTTTAAATAGGCAGTTCCAATAAGTGCCTGTGATTTCCACTGCCAGTCCTATTAATACAATCCTGCTTAATACTGATGGGTCATCCATCCCAATAAGCCTGTGGAAGGCATGAGCAAGGGCAGGGGAGGTCTCAGGAGCCTCGGCCAGCTCTGCAGTGAGGCTGTAACCCAGGGCATGCTGCTACCAGCAGCTCAGTTCCTGCAGTGTGAGAGGAACAGGGGAAGGAGGCTGGTCACCAGCCCATTGCTCCCAGAGGGCAGGACTGCAGGGCACCAGTCTGTCTCATCAAGGGGAGGTGCAGGGAAACAAGAGAGAGACAGCAAGGAGAGGAAGAAGGCACAGAAGGAAGTGGAAAGGAATGTTTAGGGCAGGAGTTCAAGGAGGGGCACAAGTAAGGAAAAGAGCAGGTGGTTTGGGAAAGGCAACAGGATCAGGATGAAGGAAGAAATGAGGATGGATGGACAGCAGCCCTGGACACCCAGAACAAAGGACGGCAGAAAGTCCCTTGCAGCAGTCAGCCCTGTATTCCTGCACACATGCTTCAGCCTGAATTTCCACTGCAAGGCTCTCACACACACTCTGGAATGGGCTTCACCACATGAAGACTCAAAAAAAATAAAAACTGTGCCATTTTTAACTTCATGATGGGGGTGAGGGACAAGTCATGATTTGAAAACCTGGGGTAGCAATATTGCCTTCACTGGATGGTTTGCAGGAAAAAAAAAAAAATAGAGAAGAGGGCTGTGTTGTGGGGCAAGATGCTGAACAGCTCTGAAGAATGTCTAACAGACTTTTGCTTGTCTGTGACAAAACCAGATACAGTGGTGAATATACCAAAAACTTGAACATATTTTGTTTTCCACCAAAACTATCACAGAAAGTTTTTCTACAAGTATTTTTCAGACTTTTTGGAGAGAAAAGCTCCCAAACCACAGTACTCATTTTCAAATGATGAAAGAAATTACACTTTTCAAAGAGTTTCTAAAGATTGTTTTAATGTCAAAAAATTCTCCTTTGTCATCTTCCCCCTGTCCCAAAAGCCTTGTGAAAAATATTTTTCTCCCTGTACTGTGGATGTTCTCTTCTCTATAATTAGTATTTTCATTATGCAGAAAAAAGTGTTTTGCTATAATTTCTCCCAATGGCTGCAAAAAGCAAACATATGCCCAACTGAAGCAATAAAAATGGAAAATGAAAACTTTCCTTTTTTTCCAATGGAAGTAAACTGTGAAACAGAAATTTGGAAAACGTAACTTCAGTGAGTTACCCTGTTCCAGTGGGAAACAACCTGTATTTCTGGTAATCCCTGAAAATTTTAAGATAATAATTTGACTGATTCTGGGAAATTCAGAGAGAGGAATTTTCTGAGTTATGAATCCAAATGCCACTCCCAAAACAGAGTTAAATTGTGTTTCTTTTGCTTTCTGAGCTCTAAGTTTTCCTGAACAACCAGGACAACTATGAAATTACCTTAAAATCAAACAAAAAAAAAAGCAAACCAAAAAACCCAGAGAACTCTTCCCCCTGCCTCCCCAAATCCCTCAAAACCCCACAAAGCAAAGCAGTCCCTCTCTCCAAGATCACCACAGTCACTGGCCACTGGATGGTGCGGCCTGGAAGAACCCCATGCACAGAGGCAAGTCAGGCTGTACTTTCATGTCTACCCAACAGTAAACCAAAAATCCATTGACTGCTGTCAGCACACCTGTACAGGATTGACCTTGTCCCCACCTGGACTGGGTCAAGCAGAGCTGTGGGCTTGCTGCTGGGGCTGCCAGGCTCCTTCAGCTCCGCACAGCCAGAGCTCCAGGCTCTCCACGCAGCCGGTCACTGATAGCACTGACTTGATGTCCCCATTTTCAGCCACAAAGTAAGTGTGTGCATGCGTGTGCATACTTATATATACTTATGTGTACCTACGTGTATATTTATACACTTCCCCCCCCCAAAATCCTAACTCACAAGGAGCCGATTCTCCAGTGAGGGATTGCTACTAGAAAAGTCAACCAAACAGTAAATAATAACCTTGCTCTTTTCTGTGCCAGCCTTCTCATGAAATACAGGCCTGTGATGTCCTTTATTTTATTTTTTTTTTTAAACAGCAAATGATGTCTAGTCATTTTCTTATTTCGCTTTCAATATTCCTCAGCTTTAGTTAATTTCACAGGCCAGAGAACAGAGATGATCCTATTCTTCCACCGAATCTGGCTCAATAGGATTCTTTCCACCCTATTTCCCAGATGTACATTTGATTTTTCTAATGTTCTCCCTGATACAATAATCCTTCAGCTCTCTCTGTTTTACATTGCCTCTTTTGAGCCCCTCGTCTTCCCTGTAGCAGAGCTGGAAAGCAAGGAACTGAGGATTCCTGTTCGGAGCCAGCCCCCTGCATGTTTCTTGACCGCGCAGGCTAACAGAGGCTCTGTTGTGCTCTGCACCGATAGAAATGTACCAACCGAGGGAGTGAAAGGCAGAGGATAGATTCATATTATACAATGTTAGTGCTATCAAAATACAGCTGGGCCTAAAGAGCCTATTCAGAAGCTCTAGATCGTGCTTAAAAAGTAAATAAGGTGCCTTGAGCACAGCTGTCTTGAAAATGCAGCTTAGTGAAACCATTAGTTTCATGCAGCTTAGTTAAGACCATTTTACAAAGTAGCGTAGGAAGCTGAGTTTGTTCTTAGTTTCCTTACACACCAAAAGAAAAATGGAAGAGATTAAACTTTAAATACTGAAGCTGCATGTTTGGTTAATAACTAGAGAAATGCCATAACGGTATTTTGCCAAAAGCCAGAGGGATGCAACTTATTTGCCCTAGATGATGCAAATTAGGGCTACTTTTAAAGTCTGTTATTAGGTGTGAAAGTCACCTAGGCAAACAAGCCCAGCACAAGGGCCTCTGTACCACTCCTACCCCAGAAAAGCACTTTATGGCCCCTGCCACTGTAACCCTATAACCCCTTCCCCTGAGAGCAAAGGTGATGAAGTGGACTCTGGCCAGAGAAGGGCCACAGGGAGGAGAAAGATGCCATCGTCTCTGCTCAGTCCTCATGTTTTAAAGTGCCACTGCAGAAAGTCAAATCTGAAGGTGCAACAGCCCAAAGCAGCAGCACTTGATTCTTACAGAGTTTTCCCCCCAGAATAACAACATAGAGACAACCATAACTGTGCCAGGCTCTCACGAGGAAATTGTGAGAGCTCTGAATTAAGCTATTGCGAGTCACCTGGGGCAGCACACAGACACATCTGTGGCTCTGAAAGGCACAAACTCCCCGCTTCCTCCCAGGAGGAATCCACTCCTAACCTATGTTTGGCCAATGGACTTTATCAAGGCAGGACATACTCTCTGCCTACATACAGGATATGACTGAGAAATGTGTGCACAGAATTCTACAGAAACTTTATTCTCCATTAACTTTGCTATAATTTGTTTCTTCATCAACTGCACTGAACTGTGATTTCTCTCATTAATCACAACTGTTATTAAATCCGAGACACATTTTTATGAAGTTGGGTAGGAAGGATAATTACTGTTGTAGAACAACTACTGCATATTAAATTCAAAGCGAGCTGTCCCCCAGAATGCACACACAAAGAACCTATGCTTTGACTTCAACACGTGTACCCAGAAAAAAAAGGCTAAGAACTTACATGGCTGAAAAAGGTCTCCTATACTACTGTGACTGGCCAGCTTCTTCCTCAGTCTGCTCAAATTATCACAGTGGAGACATTGCTGTTGACCTTTTGGGGCAGTACTTTTAAATAGATGCCACAGCAAACATTTTAGCTCATTTTGAAATCTTTGGTTCTTGTGACAAATTTTTAGCCTCAGGGTTATGTGAAAAGAGACAAGCTCACAAAAAAAAAAAAAAAGAGAAAAAAAGGTGGGGTGGTTAGGAGGGAAGAGCACTGCTGCTGCTAACAGAAGTGACAGGCCACTGTGTTTGTGACACCTTACCTTATCCCCTGGCTGTGGTCTCATAAGAGAGACTTGATCATAGCCTCGTCGAACCAAAGCCCACAGTGCATCAAGTTTGCCCTGGAATTAGAAAAGAAAAAAAAAATTCACACGACCAAGAAATTTGGGGAAAACAACGTGAGATTAAACTACAGGTTAGTTGATCCAGCCTTTCTGTATTAAACTGTCCGCACAAACATTGCTCCTGTGCCCTTGCCCTCTGTATACTGCTTATCTGGACAGCCAGAAAAGAGACCTCGATGGGGTAACATGTACCTGATATGCAACGGGCCAAATTCAGCCTGCTCAAAACTCACTCAGGATGACTGTAGTTTAATGTGAACAACTCCCAAGAGGCACAATTAGACAGGTGTTACGGTAACAGAAGGCAGAACAACAAAAGTAGTGTACTGATGGGAGGTGAGCTGGAGCATGGATAAACAGCCACAAGACTACCTCCCTAGGCAGGCTTTAAAATTCACAGGTACTTTCCAGACAATAAATTCAAGCACTGTTAAACTGATCTGTGAGCATGGGGGGGGGGCGGGGGGGGGGGGCCTCATCCCACAAAGCACTGGTTTGGGACATGACCACAGGTTTCTGTGATGAGCATGGCATGCTGCTCCCTTGGCCTGCGCTAACCCTCCAGCTTCCTCCTCTGTAAGCAGAGATGGGGGGCGGGGGCTGGGGGCCTCATCCCACAAAGCACTGGTTTGGGACATGACCACAGGTTTCTGTGATGAGCATGGCATGCTGCTCCCTTGGCCTGCGCTAACCCTCCAGCTTCCTCCTCTGTAAGCAGAGATAACAGCTCTGCCCTGCCTCAAGGGTTGTGTGAGGACACATACATTAAAAGACAGGGAGACACCAGATACTATAATGACATGGGAGAAATGGGGATGAAAGTGTGGAGAGAATGAGCGACTTGCCCAAAATCAAACACTACATCTTGTGGCTGAACTAGAGGGGAACAGAGCTGAATCCCAACCCAAGGCCTTAGCCACAGTGCAATCAAAGAAAGGACGGTGCACTTTATCTGATCCTCTTTGTATGCTGCCTTGAGACGGCACAAAACAGCATCCGCCCTCCCTAAGAGCTGAGATATTGGCTGTTGCAATCCAGGCTGTGCAAAAGTACCTGAAAAGAAGGTGTGAGCTGAGGGAGGGAAGATCTCTGCTACCTCCAACACCCTCCACTCTTCCTCAAAAACCTACAGCAACACAGTACCGGGTGAAATGCACGTTCCAAGAAACAGGCAAAGTTAAGGGTTACTGGCCATTTTCTAAATAGGCTCTCCCAGCTCTGCCGTAAGAAAGGCTGTGCTAAGGAAGCAGCATGTAGTAAGATGCATACCATAAGAGACTTGGTAAAATGGAGGGGCAGACACATTACCTTGATTGGAGTGTACCATTTCCGCTGGGAAGGTGGTTTTCTCACATGGGGCTTCTTTGGCTTGGGTTCCCATGGCTCATACTCCTGTTCTGGCAACTTAATAATAGCATTTTTGGGCTTCTCCAATTTTGCTCCTTCCTCTGTTGACCCCTTGTCTCCCCATCGCACCTGAAGTTAGGAGAGCACATTCTAAGTAGAGACACTTCAGCAGTTGCTACCAGCAGGCAGTTTTCATAGACATTAATCTAGTTCCCACCAGATGACCCAATGCCACCAGACATGAAGCCAAATTTATAAAGGCACCAAACTCCCACTGTTATCAGAAATACACATTTAAGAGTCAAATAGTCTCACTCAAAAGCTGCTTGAACTACCAGCCTTTGCACCTTCCAGTAACCTAAAGTGTTGTGGGAATTCACAGCATCCAGGACAGATTAACCCATTTCCAAGTGAAATCTGAAGCACTCTGCCCAGCTCTGCTAGGACACAAGTGTAATACGCTTCCCATTGCCTCATGCAAAAAGCAGGCAGCAGCATCAGCTGAAGGTAGGCAGTCTTTACAGCTAACCCGAAGCAGCTCCTGTTGATCAGTTCAAACGTGAAAAAAGGGTCAGTGGACAAGTACATGAATAGCTTAAGAGCATCAGCCCTCAAACTTGTGCAGCTACTACTAAAAACAGCTCTTCCAAAGATGACCTTGCATAGTCACAAGAGGTTAGTAACTTTATCTTCACATACTATACACTATTTATTTCAAGCTGAAATTATCATTTTGGTGTCTGACTTACCTCAAACAGAAATGTGACTCTGCATTCAAGGACAATATATGATCCATTGGGTTACTCAGCATCAAGGATAAAATTCTCCCAAGGAAAATGATTAAGGATATTAAGATGCAATACTTCAACTGCAGACTTGCAGGGACTTGCTGAGAAGCCATTGCTTTCATTCTGTTAGGCCTAGTTTAGTCCAGATCCTCTGCTAGCTTACATTAGCCCACCTCCCTCAGCTACCAATTAAATCTGGTGGGAGTTTCTGGCGTGCCATCCCTAAAAGTCATCATTAGGCCCTCAGCTGTGACAATTCCCTGCCTTATATTATCCATGGTTAGGAATATTGAATTGATTTCACCAACATGGGTATTCACAGGAGTTTGTAGCCGATCACAGCATTATCCACTGATTCCCTGGAACGTACATGCCATAGGACAGCACAAGGCAAATTTCTTTCACAGTAACACCTTACTTTATACAACAAGACTGGCTTGTGCATGAATCCCAGGGCAGGATTTGATTCATTGGCCAATTTCAACACAGACATGTTTTTGTGCTTTAGGAGTTAATATTTAACCGGGGGGGGGGGGGGGGAGGCACCCAAACCCAAAAGAAAAAAAAAAAGAAAAAAAGAAGGAAAAAAGAAAAATTGGTGGTTTAAATTCCTCAAACCAACTGCTGCCAGCCAGCCGTGCACAGTGTAGATGGCACCCTCAAATACTCAAAATCAGTGTAACTCTGCCTGAAACAAAAGAACTGGACCCAACTGCACTGAACGGTTTGATTCAGTAAATTAAAACCTCTTTTGGTGCTTATCCCATTTCTTAACCTGCAAATTTTCTCTGGCTCATAATGCTAGATTCATTTATTTATTCATGAGAATGGTGGCAGCTTGATGTCTGTTACTTGGACAGCAGGTACAATCAGGTGGACAAGCCCTAATTAAATTCCAGTCTCTAGTCCATCAAGGTAGCTTTTTAAAAATCACATAAACATATTGCTACAATTTTTAATTAAATGTGCTGATTTTTACAACACTAAAGAACAAGCCAAATACCTCCATCCTCTTAATCCCACCAACACCTCGACCTCCATAATAAGATGCGTCCACGGTTGGCCACTTTTTCTTCGGCAATCCATCTTCATCATCTGATTCCTATGGGAAAGACAGGGAGATATTACTGCTGTTCTCACATAAACAGCATAAACTATGGAAAACAACTGAACATCCTATGGTCCAATCATTGGATATCTGGCTTTGTGTGTTATACTCATTTGCTGACAAAAAACAAAAGTCTCTTGTCTCTGCAGCTGCAATTTTAACTAGGGAAGCCAAAGAGGATTGCCTATTCCTCTTTCCAGGCAGCTTTTATTTAGTCAAATATGTACTGAACTTCAAAATCACAACTGACTTGTAAGGAAAAGCAAAGTGGAGATGAATTGTACATTATACTGGCTTGCCACTATGCTATGCTATGCAGAAAATGCAGCAATCAGCCCAAAGAAATCATTTATTAATTGCGCTTTTAGCACTTAATGTCACCTAACAGGGGAAAAAAGCTACCACTGTGAGTTTTCTAACATGTGCATCAGACCCTTTTCTCACGGCAGCTGTAACCAGCTATTCTACGCTGCTTGATTCTTTGTAGAGTCTGGCTCAAGCTGTACAGTTTGGAACCAGGACTCAGACTGGAGCATCTCCAAATTGTCAGGAAGCTCAGATCGAGAGTTTTTGACCTGCAATTACAAAGACTGCAGATTATTTTTCTGGAACGTGGGAGAGTCTGAATCAGGGTTTTACTTGAGGTTCATTGTTCTGTTCTTGCTTTACTAAAAGCTGGCAAACGTTTCTGGTTTGACAAACCTGGGAACACATCTCCAGCTCTATCATCTTGAGCTGACAGAAGTCACTGGGATTTCTCAGACTCCCTATCATTACGCTGAGTTGAGGCAACTGAAAGTCACATCATGACACTCTCAAAGTACACACATAATTGAGGAAAGGTCCCAACAAGACTCCTACAAGAGCATCTTCATTCCTCACACTCTTTATTAAAGACAAATAACTGCACCTCATGCTGATATGCAGATGTGCATGCTGCTCTTGGACTGGCCAGGCACAGTGATTTCTGCTAATTTTCATCAGTAAAAGTATGTTTCTAGAAACACTGCCTGCACTTAGTTTTTACTAAAAAAACAAAAACAAAAAACCACACAACAAGAAGTGAAATCCAAATACTAGAGAAGGACACAAATTATTGTCAGATTACTAGGTGACATTTTCTCAAAGTTGCCCTATGTGTTTCTATTGGAATGTAAAAGGAATTGAGAGTCCAAATGCCAATACTAGCTTTTAAAAAACCTGCCTTAGTTTTTGTTTGTTCATATTTAACTCTTAGGTTATGCCTTGGAGAAAGGTATTCCCATCAGTTATTCAGTGACATCTGATCTCTCAGCTATGGTTCATGGGTCAGTTCCTCCAACAAATTCTTTAATATGGCCAGGCAAGACTGGAGTTGACATTTCCATTGACTAGTAAGGGTGTTTGAGTTTGATTTTTTTTGTTTTGTTTTGGGTTTTTTTGGTTGGAGTTTTTTGTTGTTGTTTTGTTTTTATCCTAAGTCAGGGAAATAAATATACAAAGAAGGCACTGACGTTTGGTGTTGGGTTTTGTTGTTGGTTTGGTGTTGTTGTTTTTTTTTTTTTTTTTTTAAGAGTATACGAAATATACAAATTTTATCCCATTTTGTGCCACGTCTAAAACAGTACCCAGTGAACTACATCAAGAATTTTAATTCATTTATATTTTATTTCATCATGAACTTGAGTACTATATAAAATATCCTGCCTCTTCCATGGGACGTAACACAGATTTCAAGTCTTCATGTCTAACAACCCTTACAGCTGGCAAGCCTGACAGTAGCAGGACACAGTTAATAGCGATGGCTGATACTTTTCCAGCTGATAAAGTATCTATACCAAATACTCCTACACTGAACACATAGCAAAACATCATCAACAGCTACTACATAGATTTTGAAAAGTAATGGAAATCTAATGCTTGTGGTTTAGAACAAGTTTTAGATAACTATATTCAGTTTAATAGCAGCAATACCAGACTACACCAGCGAAAGGGCAGGTCACCATACCTAGGGAGGCTAGTGCTAAGTGTAACGAAACAACAATCCATACTGGATAAAGACAAGGCCAAGTAACGGGATGGATAACCTCTGTATTCTGTGTTATACCTGGAGGCTTACGTCAGCTCACAGTCTCTTTGATTGCATTTAAAATCTCTGCTGATCAGAATAATCACAAAGCATCTGGGAACTCTGCTGCAGGGGTGCGATGCTCTCTGAAACCTCCTTCAAACATAGCATGGCTGCAATTGCATGCTTCATGACAACACTAATCGCCCTAAAACTAGCATGATTTTTTGGTGCATATTCTAAAGTTAAATTGTCACAGTGCTGCTGCCCAGGACAAGCAACAGGATCACATACACAGTAATGGTGGCCTCTGGCAACCTCAAAACAGCAGCTGTGGTTGCCTTCTGATATTCATGCCAAGTTACAGCAAGTTAGCAGTAAACTGTAAGCTTCTCTTGTGGGTTAGGCAAGTATTTTTCCATCATTTAACTTTCTATGCCTAGGAAAGAAATAAAGGCAGGGATGAGTTTTCTCTGGAGCTACTTCTATTTACTACTATTATTTTCATTAAATTAGCAAAGTGAAATTAAGCTGAGGTCAGGGTCAGTGTGTTACTGTCCCAAAAAGACCTAAATACAACCCTGCCTCAAACAGCTCACAACCTAAATGGAGAAAGGCTAAATGTCCTTCCAAAGGTCACTGCAGCAGAGCCACAGCTGGGGCAGGCTCTTGTCTTCCTCTCCTGTAGCAAAGCCACAAGAATGTGGCCTTCGCTGTCCTTTCGTCAGCTGCCAGACTTTGTTCCTTACTGCCAATCTGGGCTAAACTCCTGCTGAGACCAGCAGCAGCTTTACTGGAGGAGGAACTGCTTTCAGCACAGCTTAAGAAGCAAAGATTTGCTTACACACCTGTTTGATGTGCAGCAGAAGGAACAAAATACCATAGGAACTGTTGGTCTGTGGACTTCTGAGTTATGCAACTATTTTCTGTGGACAGAAATAATCTTGCTGTATGTATATAAAGAGGCCAGAAGGCAGAAATAACTATCCTGACCCAAGAGACTTCCTCTCACAGCCTTCAAGGTGTTATTAAGACACCTACAGGGCTGACGTTCCTGGGCAGCACAATACACTACAGTGGCTGCAGACAGTGCAACAGCTCAAAAATAGCCTACTTACAGGCTCTGGAGGTGGTGGTGGCGGTGGCTCCTTGATCACCTGGAATATATAAACAATGGGAGAAATCTGAGATAATGGTAGGGTTCATCCATCTCAATGCTATGTCCTCTCTGCTTTCTTGCTCATACCACAGATGCGTTGCCCTGCTCCATTCCCCCACATTCAATCCTCTCACTAGCCCCACTGCTTTTCAGCAGGCATAAAATAAATGCAGATGAGAAGCTAAATCCATCACATTGAACTATCTGATTAGTCAAGAAGTGCCCTATTAAGTAACTCATAATACAGCTCCATGTTCTGGTAGTTCTGCCTTAAAAGTGTCACATAATTGCCAAGCTAGTGCAAAATATTTACTCAGAATAAAAAAATAAAGCCTAACTCTTGTCTTCAAAAAGGACTATAACAGCTTATGCACATATTAATAAAACAGTTCCATTACAGTTTTTCTGCAGCAGGTTTCCCCACAGAAACTTGGGCCACGTCCACGAGCAAACTTAAACTTCTCGTTCAGTGTCAAAATCACATAGGCCTTGCAACATTCAAAAACCCAGACTCGAGTGACTTCAACAAGCACCTTAAGCAATTTGTTGAATTGGGGCCTTACAAACCATTTTTCTCAAACAAAGGTAACCACCTACTCCAACACTTTACCTCTGTGCTTTCACAGAGAAGAGATAAAACCAAGCCAGAAGAATAAAAACCTGTACTTACCACCGTGCAGCAAAGGGGCCAGAACCACCACAGAAGAGCCAGAGCCAGCAGTAGAAAAAGAATCAGGAGAGCAATGAAAAGGATGGTCCCAGTCAGCTGCAAACAAGATGATTACTTCTGAGTTACCTGCGCGTGTCACAAACAAGGCAGGAGCCCCGAAGTTACACAATTAGACTGGGCAAAATGAGCAAGGTTTCCCTCACTATGAGGTCTCAGGTAAATTGTGCAGTCAATCACTATTATCATTAGGGTCACATCAGTATTTGGTGTGACAAATCTGTATTTGAATTCATGATTCAGGGAAGCACCTCCTGTTTGTGATGTTTATGTGTATAATTTATGTATAAATTTATGGTATGTTATAGCCCACTAGAGCTGAGGGTGTTAAACTCGTATACAAACCATTCCTAAATCTGTGCTGAGAGATCCCTTAACATTGGCAGAGGGGCATTGCAAACTACATGACCACAGACTCTCAGGTGTGCAGAGTAACCTTTCATCACTAGAGATACAGAATATGCAAATGCTGATATTCAAATAATGGGAATATTGGAGCTAAGACCTTATGGGTAACTATTCGCATGCCAACATCACACACCAGAGCACAACTTACTCATCCCATCAGCTCCCAAGCCTTCCTTATATTGCCTCTTGACTCAAACTGCACACGCAACCCCCAGCCTGAGCAATTATGCAAACTAGTCCTTAATGCTGCTGGTTCTTTGTATGCTTCCTAGGGCTGGTTTGACTATTTTAAATGAGATGCTGTAATCATGATCTTAAGCACTTCTCATTCTTTTATTCCATCTATTTCTCTGGAGAGAATGGTGGGACTCCAGGGCTGGATAGCTAATGGTCTACATTCAAAATCAAAGTTAAATTTTCTTTACAATGAATAGAATCCAAAAAATTTCAAGTGTTAACACTTGAAATTAGCTTTTCAGAACAGCCAGGCAGCCAAAAAGAATCACAGCTCTGATTATCCTGAGTACATCTTGATGAATTCTTTGTACTTGGAGCATTTCATGTCAGTGTGCTCAGAAGAGGTATTAACTCTGTGTATTGCTCTGATGACTACAGGAAAGCAGGTCTTCATATGCTGCTTCGCCCCTGCAGAACATACAGAGCACATGGCTTTTTGGAAATTAAGCATTTGTTGCAGATGGGCAGTGGCATGCTGGGACATGCCGTTTCCTTGGACTGCGCTGGGCTCTGGGATGAGGTTAAGATTAGCTCTGCTGCTCCAGCCATTTCTTTTATACTGGAAAAGAAACCTCTTCAATGGTAGATTTTCTGAGTTTGAGAAGAGGTTCAATTCACCAGCAACAGGGGTACCAGAGAACAGGCAAAACCTGGCAGCAAACTACAGAAGAGCCTGGGACTAGGAAGATGTGAAAAGAGCTTGAAGAAAGGTCTGTGAATCAGGCTGAGGGAATAGGAGCTGGCTAGAGAGGAAGCTGTAAGATATTTTCAAAGAAGGATAGGTGGGAGGATAAGTGGAAAGAAAGCAAATTCCAAAGAAGATTTATGGAGGATAAAGTCCATGAAATTCACCTTATTAAATCTGAAACTACTTGCTGAATTCCCATGACACCAGAAAATGATGCTTAGCCCACTCTTACAAGAGGAGTTCCCTTCACTGTTCCATGTGGGTTTGTTTTCTCCTCGGACAATGAAAAGGCTGAGGGTGGAAATGAAAGTACCAGCTGATAAGAGCTTTGCAAAGTCTGGGTAAGATCCCAAGTGGCTGACTTGGGTGGTACCTAGTCTTTCTCAGGCCAAATCCTCGAGCCATCAGGACTGACATGTTTAAGATGAGACTAACACAACCATGGCTCCCACTCCATGCTTTTAGGCAGGTAGCTCAGTATCCTGTATCTCTGTGTCACAGCATCACCATCTCTCCACTGCTGTGTGGCTTCTTGTTATAGATGCAAACTGACCTGTTTTGGGATACACTATTTAGCTCACCTCATTCATTTGGTCAGGGAACAGCTGAAAGCCAAGGTGGAGTGATGCGATATGTGCCAGACCCCCGGCTCAGAGGAGCCCTGTTAGAAGACACCCTACCTAGCTGCAATTCAGTGCTGCAGCCCCCCTCTCTGGCACTCCTATGGCCCCATGTAGTACTAACACATCTGGAAAGCAGATACTTGGGCAGCATGATTTCCCAGTGAAGTCAGTTTGCTGAGGAAAGGATGAGTAAAAGTCAAGCGTAACTGTAAGAGGTATTGCTGCACTCCTTAAAAGACAAATCCAAGCATGGCACCAATGCAGTACATGAGCCACAGATGCACATACCACTGCTACTGTTACTCCAAACACACATTACCTCCTTGTCTTGTAGCCTTTGTTCCCAGGTGTTGCTTTTCCCATGCTAAGTGCTCATATAAATCGCTGAGACATTTGCCAGCAGCAGCTCGGGAGCTGCTGGCAGCAAGAACCTAAAGAGTTCTCTTTTAATGATTAAATATACAAAGCATCATAGTGAAGCTGGACTTTGAAAAGGAAATAGCAGACTTCATGCAGCTAAACAGAAATAAGCACAGGGATCACACAGAGGCTTTAGGAGTAAAGTGAAGATACTTACTGTACAGAAAGGACAGAAGGGCCAGCTGGGGAGGAGAGCTGAGCAGGCCAGCTAACTGCCACCCACAGAAAGGGAAATGGGAGAGGAAAGGAAATGGAGAGAGTCTCTAAAACGAGAAGAGTGAAATGCATGAAATTAAGACAAAGTTAGAAACTGAACTGCCAGCCTCCCTGCTTATGGGATGTAACTGGAGTGAGAGTCTTTTTTTTTTTTTTTTGTACCAGCTGAGAATCAGGCTCCCTGCCTCCTTCACATTCAATCTGCAAGAGGCTGGTCAAAAATTGTCAGATTGACAGGACTGGAGATTGGATTCCTCTCTTTATCCTAAGGCTACTGAGAGGAAAGCTTCTTCCATCCATGTTCTGGCCTGTAGGAAGCCCAGCTAGGGCTAAGACTTCAGTCTTCATCAGAAATAAACTACATATGGGTAACTAAACGCACCAGTTAACACTTGTGTTTCACTGCAGATTCAAAAGGTTTTATTGTACCTGAGGTAGGAGAGAGGAATAAAATGTGAAAATATCAGTCTTCAGTATAACAAATTTGGAGGAAAGTTTTGGAAAAATAAGAATGATCAGGTGAAGCAGTAAACACATCTCTACTAAATTCTGAGTCCCTGCACCCCAGACTGTTGCAGCAATCTGGTGTGAAATTTCCCAGCTTCATTGTTGAAAACATCAGAAAATCATATTTGCAAGTTCCAGTCACTGCCTCTACCTTCATTCCTGCCCTTCTGTTCTGCAGCTGTCAAAAAGGCCAGCAATGATTACAAACCAATATGACAGCATTTGGCATAGGCTATAAAAGTCCTTTTGACACTAATAACAATAAAGCTCAACTTTGATACAAAGTGTTTGCTATCAGGTACACTTCAGCAAACTTTGTTTAGTCCACAAGCACAAGGCCAAATCTTCAGCTACTGTACTTGCTTGCACCAGCTATGGGCATTGCCTAGTTTTACTCCACAGTAAGGAGTAAGACTGCTTATCTAGTAGTCAGCTTCTTCATTTTGATTGTTTCATTCTAAAATCAGGTTTTGATAAAGGATCACTTCTAGCTGTTGGCCCCTGACACTCCACCTGGAGACAGGTAGTCTCTTTGACCAGGAGATGCTCATATCACCACCATCACTGTCCCACAGCAGCACATTCTCCTTCGGCTGGGCTGAGCAGCAGCCTTTTATCAAGAAGCTCATCCCAGGATCTGAGGCTGCTATCTCTTTCTGGTCATCCCCCGTGACACCAAGAGAAAAGCAACCAGCTCCTGTCACTAAAACTGTAAAAACACCTTAGCGAATCCTGAACTAGTAAAGGCAAATTGTGGTGGTCTAAGAACAAATGCTGTAAGCTCCAACCAAAAAATAACCATGTAAATCTGGAGGACCTTCCATGCTGTGGCCCTTCCAGATCCAAGTCCTGGTGGTTGCTACCTTTCACCCCAGATGCCATAAGGGATCCCAAAGCTCAACAGGGTGTTGCTTCCTGATGTTCCTTCCCTCATTTTCCCAGATTCCTTTCTAGTCAGATCCTAGCTTTGAGGATCTCTCTTTCCTGGGATAGGAATGGGAAGGGTGCCTTTTGTTGTAATTTTTTATTCAGTAAATCTGTCATGAACTATGCATCATCAATAACTATTTAATCTTAACTAGCCCTGGTTATTTTTCAAAGAACTGCTGGGATCCAGTCAATAACTGTGATGCAGAAGCTGTAGAGAGCTCATGCACGCTCAAGAAGGCTTTGCCTGAAAAGCCACCATCTCTTTCCAGGATCTCATGGTTTCTCTGTCAAGCCCCATTGCAATTACTTACACACTGTGTGCTGGTGATGCTGACAGAGCTGGAGATAAACGTTAGCCCGTTGTTCATGCTGACTTGTAGGAAAACCACCCTAAAGCACAAAACAGATATGCTTATTTTTAGTGTCATCTTTATACCCATTGTTCCCTTTATTCTGGCTGTGTTTTAGCCATTGGCTCATGAACACGCATGGATAAAACGTCCTGCTGAGTGAAGGCACTTTCATGGCTTCAGGTGCTTACCTGCATTTGTCTCTCTGCTTGCCCAGGAGCTACCCTTTTTATGTTGGCTTAATTGAGTTGGGGCATATGCTCTTTATTAAAAAACCTCCATCCCACCTGGGGCAAAGGGTACTAGGACAGTGAGTCATAACATGAAGTCTCAGACATTTGCAATACTACCCTAGATAGCACAAGAAACTTCAAGGCTTTTTTTTTCTTTTCTTTTAAACCCCTTCTGTAGCTTAAGAGCCAGAATGTGTTTTCTTTTATATCCAAGTAAATGCAGAATACGTGCACTGATGTCAAGGGGTAAAAACACTGAAATAATAGTGAAATTAAAGAAGAATTTGGCCCTAGCCATTCTCCAATATAAGAGAAAGGGTCCAAAGAAAAAAACAAAAACAAAAACCACACACCACAAACACAACCAAACAAAATAACCCACAAAAAACCCACCAAGCAACTTTTCCTCACCCACAAATAGGAAAGGGGAGGGAGGCATTCCCCCTTATCCCCAGTACAGTATTTCAGCACCCACAAGATCATCCAAGGGGAAGGTAGGGCCTTGTGCCATGTCTCCCAGGAGTCTGCAGGATTACAACAGTTGAAAAATACCAACACTAGCCAGAGCAGGGCAAAACACAGGAAGCACCATCTACAACAGCAGCAAAAGAATTCAAATCAAGCAGCTCTTTTCAATCAAAATTAAAAGTTTTCCTGGAATTCAATTACCGTTTGGTCTGAAAAAGCAGGATATAGGAACAGAGGGGAAATCACCATTTGATGAATCTATGATATGGGACCGTGGTCCAACAAGGCCTTTTGTTAAGCTGTGCTAAAGATCCAACATTGAATAGAGCCATGCTGGCTCCTACTAGGAGAGGATTTGGCACAAAAGGGATGGAGGTAATCCTGCTACACACGCACAAATTTATTAGCTTGGCACTCTGGGCAAAATTCTGAGCCCTTGGCTCAGTAATGACATCCTCATCCAGAAGTCTCCCTCTCTCAACACATGCTAGAAACCAATACTTACTGTCCAGCATCTTCTATCACTGGGGCAGGACAAAGTAAGTAAGTATCATGAACAAGGGTTGGCTTTTCATCTGAAAAGAAATGAATATAACTGTCAGGAATGAAAAAAAGAAATTGTCCCAGGCAGGCCACCCCCTGGAGTAGCACTGACACCAATGACAGACACAGACGAATTCAATATATAGGCAAGTGCCAATATTCCCCAATGGTATTGATTACAAATCCAAGTACTAGGATGACCATTCTTGTTGATGCCAATATGTTATCAGGTTAGAGATACCACAGCTAAAAAATAGAAGTGCATCTCTGCTCCTGACAGCAGTGATCAGCCATTTTGAAGCCAGCTTTGAGCAATATTCATCTTGTCTATCTTACAAGTGCATGCAAACTCTACTCATGCTGAATACTCTGACCCCACAAGTTACTCAAGAGGTCAAAAGCATAGGGTTCAATTTTTGCCTACCTAGTTCCAAACACACACACAGAGGAGAAGCCAAGGCTGCATTGTTTGAGCCCAGGGAAAAGGAAGACCAGAGATAGGGTGGAGCTGAAGTGGACAGACACCAGAGGAAACAAAAAACCCATGGTTGGTCATATACGGGAAACAGGCAGAGAGGGGCCATGACTGATGCTACTGTGAGGACCTGTCCTGCACTAGCTGCTGCTTTTCTTGTCCCCAGCTTCCCCTCTGTGGCAGCATCATCTGGAAACAGCCCATGTTTACAGAGGTCTGGTGCAGGCAGAGTCAAAAGCAAGGCCATGGGTGTTTTTGCGCCCTGCACTCTGCTGCTCCAAGAGTCAGCAGTCCTAATCCTGTTACTTTCAAAAGCCACATCCAGAAAGCCAAGTCCCATGAACACACAGAGGAGGCCCAGCAGTAATCCTGCAATGCCACTCCACTAAAAGTACGCAAGCTGAGGCACAAGAGCAAGCAAGTCAGTGCTGTGACCACACCTTAGCTCCAAATGGCCCAAAGCATCTAAGGTACTAGTCCAGAGAAACACTGGTTCACTAAAGTCCATCCCAAGTGAACTAGGGGCTGGTAAAAGCTGCCAGCTTATTTAAACTTTAGAGGCTTGATTACTCTTTCTACCTGGGAAAAAGAATTAACTTGAACAACAACAGATATGAGAGTTGCTCTTTCATGCTTCACCCACCCCAAGCACACCTGAAGACAAAGCTCATTTCCCTGTTCAGGCAGAGATGAGACCATGGAAATTACAGTGATATGTTTTAGGGGCAGCCTGAAGGGGGGAAAAAAAGCCAGCCAGCATAGATCAGTGTCTCATCACATCTGTTGCAGACCTAACCCAAGGAGAATACAGCACGGAGATGTGGAATTACGGTAGTTTTCCTCCTGTGTACTTTCAGGCCCGGGTCAGCACTCACTGTGTGAAGTCCAGTCAAGATGCCAGTGCATTAGGGACAAGGAAGAAAAAAACAAAAGTCTGTCTACCTGGTAAACCACAAGAAACAAATCCCTGGCAAAGGGCATTTGTAAGTGGAACGAGAGCAAGACCACCAGAGTTTATTTAATGCAGCCTCCACGTAGGCAACTGGGATGGGAAATGAAGGCGCAATTCATGTGCTCCCTCTTGTAAGTGAATTCACTGCTAGGGAAGGCACCAGTCTGACCGCGACAGGATATGAAAGCCTCTACTGTGCTCAGCCAACAAGGGTAGCATATACAGAAAAGGAGCAAAGTTCCCCTCCCCACACTGTGCTTCACCCTGCCAGACATACACTGCTTCTTGGGAATAAGAGAGGACTGCTGAGAAACTGGACATTCAATCTTTTTTGGCCATTCAGTCCTTTGCCTGGCTGCTGAGACAGGAAACAAAAGACCATTTAGCGCAGTGATGACAGAGTTTCCGTGTTACATGCTCGCTGCAGTGAGACCAGCAACTGGCGTCAGAGAGGAACGGAGAAGGCCTGGGAGGGCCCTGCTTTATGGTGAGTGTCTCCTGAATTGGTGAATAAAGAGTCTGAAGACACCACCAGAAGATGGTAGCATTATATCTTTTGATGAACAAGGGAATAGGAAGCAATTTTATTTCTCCCTCTTAAAACCCGATATCCAGTCCTCACTGGCTGTATGCATCACCCATGTGCACCATTACAATGATGCTGAAATTCATTGTGCAGCAGCACACCCTGCGTAAGCCCTTGTGACACAATGCCCACAGGTCACAGGATTGACTAAAGATGCATTAAAAGCTTCTGTTAGAGGTAGATCCCTACTCAGCTCCCCCCATATCCACTGCAAGAACGCCCCCAACATGGACGAGAGGTCACTCGTGAGGTGACACAGCCACAGAGGGCACTGGAATCCACCAGCCTGCAAACTTACTGATAGTAAGGCTGTCGTTGAGCTTGAAGCTGCAGAGTACCTGGTCGATATTTCTTGCATGATAAAAGCCGTTGCCTCTTACCACAACTTGAAATGATTCTGTAAGTAAAAATACAGAAGAGTAATGAAAACCAGCTAAAATACAGCACTTCCTTCCAGAGTGATCTGAATTACAACATGGCAATGGCTGGTCTCTGCCTTATGCCTGAAACAAAGCCTTCACACTGACACTCATTCAGCAGCAATGGTCAAGAGTGCTATAGTGGCGCTGGTGCTTCACAGAGCAACATTCATCTCAAGGTTGCTCCCACAAGCATCCCATTGACCCCCAATGCCTTAATTAAACATGCCACAGTAATACTGCGAGCCTGACATGGCTGATGTCGTCTCATGGTTCTTCCATGGCTTTTGGGCCAGACACCTTTGCTAACCATAAGCACCAGTTCTTCCACCTATCTCCACAGCAGAATGTACTTGGCTTTCAGCAGCAGCTCTGTTCAGACAGATGCAGACAAACAGGACTCCCCTCATAACCCCCCTGTGAATCAGAGAGGAAGCTTTGCATCTGGTACAAGTCCTGGAAAAATACAATCTTTCAGCCCATACAAGAACTGAGCCTGTGCACAGCCCTGTTAGCATCTGCTGCGCATGGGGATAACTAAAGACCCAGGTGCTGCAACTTTCTTTGTGCTCTTCCCCCACACCACTGTCCCAGCAGCAGAAACCACCAGTGGCACAAGAAGAGACCTGCCACATCAGACACACTGTCTGCTGGCCAGAGCAAGCACTCCTAACCCTGCCCTTCAGCTGCTCTCAACTTCTGTTGCTTCAGTCTGGATGGGGGGGCACCTGTGATTTTTGTCATTACTGTGATAAGCACCTGTGATTTGTTCATTCAAGCAGCAAAAGCATCACCAGTTTTTTCAGCCAGCCTTTCACTGGTCTTTATACTGATAGAGCAGTTTCACATCTGAGTAAAGCCAGCCTAGGCGGGCTGCTGTCAGAAGTGAGATCCCAGCTGCACACACCCTCCACTGTTGGCACTGCTGATCATGTTGAGGTGCACTGAGCTTGCTCACACACCTGAAAAATAACCCCCTGTTACCAGGAAGATCAGTAAGGTGATCTGCCTGGCTGATCATCTGCTGGGAACACAAGTGTGGAGGAGAAAGGAAGGGACAGAGACAAGTGGTAGTGACATCGGGTGAATTTATGCCTATCATGAAACCCCCTCAAGTCAGTGTACCCAGAACAGTTAGAAACAGAAAGGTAATTTGAGGAAGAAGGTATTAAGAAGCCTAGTTTGGTTTCTCAGCTGCTCCGCAACAAGCTTTTAAAATTACTTCTTAGTAACCTATATGGGTAACACTTCTCAGAGCGCAGGTGGAGCCCAACACCAAGCCGCAGCCTCCTTCCTCTTGGGGTCAGCCTGAATGGCTAAGCTAGGCACAGATGCACCAGAAGGGGAAGCAGCAAGGGAAACTTCTCCCTAGGTCACAAAATGCATTGTAGCTGCTACACTGACAACAGAGATAACATCTTCAACACAGGCAGGCGGAGAGACACATTGCAAATTTGTTCTGTGCCAAATGTATTTTTGAAACTCCCTTCACACAAGAAGCCAGCTGTCAGCCAAGACCCAGGGCACACAGCAAGAGAAAGCCCAGAAGAAGTAGCACTTTCACACATAAACCTCCTGCTTTAGCTGAATCCTCGACAAAGCTCGCTTATACCAGCCGCTGAGCGGTATTTGAGACCAGCCCAATACCAGGGGGACACCAGCACAACACAGGACCAAATAATCTTCAAGCTACACATAGAAAAATAAGAATAAACTGCACAGAAGTTCTCCGCTAGCAGCAAGTAAAACCATGAACAAGTCCACATGCATTATCAATTATACTTTGACCGACATACTGAAAATGATAGGAAAACAATGTTGATAGGATTGAGGGGAACAGTACCTAATTTTTAGTGATTGAGATCTGGCTTTAGATAACATTCCACATGATGCACTGCCGTGTTACTTGTATGCTTTGGAGGAAGGACTTGTTACTGGATAACACTACACAAGGCCCAAAGGTGGCTGAAATACATATTCAGCTTAGTCTGCCTGCTCTTCACTATCAAGTTACTGCAAGGCAAGCTAGCATGAGGATGTGGAGTGCTTTAACTTTTCCATACAAACAGCTTGTTCTTGCCAAAACCACATTCTCACTCCATTGAGGTCTAATGCAACTCTGGGTGAACTGGACAAGGGCATGGACAAGTTATGATTGAGCACTGGAAACCCACACTCCGGTTTTCCTCATGGTAACTCTCTCTCAGAGCAGTGCTCTTGAACTGACACAGGCTGCAAGGAACATGAGAATTGGAGAAGATATTTTGGGAGGGGATAAAGAAAATATCTACCAGAGTGCATATTAAAGTGAAACACATGCTTTGGAACTTTGCTGAAGAAAGATGATCAAATTTGAGACCTCACTGAGCACATCAAGAGCCAAACATACAAAGCCAGCATCAGAATTTGGCCTCTTAAGGGAAGGGTTATACCTCCTTGTTCCCACTGGGGGTGGAGGGCACTTCTTTAAACACATAAAAATGGACTGTAGGGTAGATTCGGCTGCTTCTTACTCTAGTAAGAATCTGGAGTTACTCTAAGTCTGATTCATGCCTTAAGCCACTCCACATTTAACCCAGTGAAATGTTGAGAATTGTTTTGATGAGCATCTCTTTTTGTCAGCAGAGCTGAGAGTCATGGCCAGCCCTAAGGGAAACCAGGCCTCTGCCCACCCACCAGAACTACCTGGCTCAGACCACACGTTACCCCAGATTTGCTTGTAGCCAGCCCACTCCACAGTGACGTGAACACCCAGCTAAGATAACTTATTTTTGTCTGTCTATATTATAGAAGTAGCTTGCCGAAATAAAATTGCAGGCAGATTCTCCCCCCCCCGCCCGCCCCAAACCGATGGTCTTAAAAGGCAGCATCTAGTAAGAATCTGGAGTTACTCTAAGTCTGATTCATGCCTTAAGCCACTCCACATTTAACCCAGTGAAATGTTGAGAATTGTTTTGATGAGCATCTCTTTTTGTCAGCAGAGCTGAGAGTCATGGCCAGCCCTAAGGGAAACCAGGCCTCTGCCCACCCACCAGAACTACCTGGCTCAGACCACACGTTACCCCAGATTTGCTTGTAGCCAGCCCACTCCACAGTGACGTGAACACCCAGCTAAGATAACTTATTTTTGTCTGTCTATATTATAGAAGTAGCTTGCCGAAATAAAATTGCAGGCAGATCCCCCCCCCCCCCACCGCCCCAAACAGATGGTCTTAAAAGGCAGCAACCACAAAGGCTTAGTTGATAGCTATTGCAGTGGCAATGCCTTTAAAAAGAGGCAGCAAGTAAGAGACTTCCAACACAAAACATCGAAGGTAAAAGCTACATCTAGAAGTTTAGTCTTGTCAAGATAGTTTACCTCTCCTGCCCTTCTTTCCACCGTCACTGCCACTCTGCACAGTCAGTTGTGAATAACTGACTTGGTAGTAACCTGTCCACCAACACAAGCTGACAATATAGTCTCAATACCAGACTTGCATGGAAATGTAAACAGCTGGTACTGGATTTGGTTGTTGCTGCTAAGAAGTCTGCCCCTTTGGATGCTCCGGAGCATTAACGTGTTCTGGATGATGGTCTGTTGAAATGGCTAATTCCATTTAATTTTGCACCCTGGCTCTGTCTGCGTCCTTTTCTTCCTTAGTTACTGTCAGATAGTAGATTGTAGCTTTTGACAAGACAGCGAAGGGAAAAAGGTCAGCACTGAAATAACCAGGCGGCGCTGGCAGCGAGATGGTAGGTTGAAGCTGGTGTGCGCTGGCTGCGCTGTCGGCTTCACTTCTGTGACTCTGATAAGAAGCTGACGGCTTGCATCCACACCTGGTGGTTGATGTGGCCAGTAGGATGCCACATCCAACAAAACCTTTCAATCACATCTGCGTACCGTAAGCATAATCAAAGCAATGATGCTGTCAAACAGGATATGAGGCACCTCCAATTCTGCACTGATAGCCTGTTTACAGGCTGCATGTCTTGGTCACTTTAAATCAGAGGGAACGGGAAGGACCCAATTACATTTCTCCACATTGAGGACGATAAATTTGCAGGGTCAAAAAGCATTAAGCATCAGATAGCTGTCATAACAGGACAAGATCAATTTGTAAATGGACTTGCCAGATAGCTTCGTCAGAGTCCCACATGGAAATCATTTCATCAGCAATTTACTAAACCTCTGGCAAGTCAAAAATGAAGCCAAGATCACCAGTAATCACCAACACAGGGGTAATTAGGAATTGCAAGAATGGTTACAAGGAGTGGGTCAGAGTTTGCTCTAAGCCCTGATCATGACTGGCTTCCACTGAGCAACACAAAGCCCTCATGATCTCATATCAGATTCTAAAAATTAGTAATAATGCTAAATAAAAGCCAAACTGATTATCACCTCCTCACTCAGATAAGCTTCATACAAAAAGCAAGGACAGAGCCACACTTCAAGGCTGTAAACAAGCAAGCTTCTTTGCTGGGAGAATCTGACAACATCTTGCACTCTTTCAAGAGGTCTACCATTTTTTGATCAAAATTTTGAAATGCAAATTTCAATTACGTGTTTTTTTTTAAAAAAAAACAAAATTCCTAACTTAGAAAAAAGGAAGAGGAATGTTTCATTTCTAGAAAATATTGTGTTCTAATTTTCAGCCAGTTCTAAATGCAGGTGTATATGTATTTTTATATAGGATTCAATGGCTATATATCTTACCTATACATTATCGGTAAACTACATTAGTAATTACTTAAATTTAAAATGCATTAAAATTCTGTGATGACTACATAGGCTTCAGTATTTTTTGTGTTAAAGTTCAAATAAAGTACATTAAAAAAATAAATCACATTACACAGAGTAGAACTATATCTGACTGTCCAGTGAACTGGATTCAGGATCTGGATTCACACTACCATGAAGAACATCGTTCAATCCCAGGAGATTCCCTCCAGGAGACAGTGGTGCACGCAGCTATAAAGATGAACCTCTGGCTATGTTGAAGTAAGTGGGATTATAAAGGATAATAAAGCCAAGCACAAGTGTAAATATTTGCAGCCTCATGCTGTAAAACCTCTTGCAAGAGTTCATTTCAGCTAAGGCTGCCGGGACTAGACTCATAATAAAAGCTATTACAGACCTGATTCTTCGTGCTAAAGACCATTTATCATGACAGTGTGCACCATCCGGAGCTGCAGTTTTGGCTTCCTCCTATTTTCAAGCTCCCTGCTGCTATAAGCAAGCCTGCAGCACACGAGATCCAAGTCTTCATGCCCTGGTGATTCAGCACGGCACTTCACCGTATGCTAGCCTTTGCTGGACGGCTTTGTCAACAGGGACAGAACAAACCTCAGAATTCAACTGAACCAAGTGCCAGTATTTTGCTGAATTGGTAGCAATACACAGAAACTGGTTCTGTCTGATTTACATTGGTCTTATTTGAAAACCACAAAGACAATGAAAAACTTTACAGATGCAAGTAATGCAGCAATTTTTATTTATTTTTTTATTAAGGAGGGCAAACTATTTAAGTGTACTTGTGTATTTTTAATCACGTTTGTGATGAACTAGTTACCTAGCAAAAAATGAAGTGGTCTGAACTCCTGAATCTGGAATCAAACTGATTACTTTTCAAAAAAAGAAATTTTACTCTTTTTGCTGAAATACATCTATTTTTGAAAAGCAAATCTTTTCTTAGAAATTTATTTTCTCAAATACTTTAGAAGAATATTTTCAAATTTCAATTTGAAAAATATGGTTTTGAATTCAACTTTCCAATATTCTTAACATTGTTCCAAACAATTACAAGAATATGACTGAAATCCCTATTATTGGAACACTCACATTTTCATGTAGCTAAATGCAATTTTTGTTGAACAGGAAAGCTTGCAATAAGCTTGCACAAAAAATTGCCTGGTATACAATAAGCAAGCAAAAAAAAAAGAAAGAATTTATCACTATGAAATTAAAAAAGCTTTGAAATGTCAAAGCTTTAAAATTGTTTTTGATCAACTCCACAAGGCGATTTTTAAAAGAAAAATAATTCCTTTTTGATTTTTCCGCAGACAAGATTTTATCACAAACTTCTAGTCCACAATGATATACACAGGAATAGTTCAAAAGATACAAGGATATTTAAAATTAAATTGAAACACTCAGGGCAAGATCATATTGTGATGGACATGTGGAAACGAAGAGGGAACAATTTCTCTGTGATATTTATTACATTTTTCCCAAGTTTCCTATTTTTATCTGTTTTCAAGGTCAGCTTTCATGCATCATTGCTATTTTATTTTTACATGCTCATTTTTACAGCATATAAGGAAATGAACACAAGACAGTAATATCAGATCTAAATAACCATGCTGTAAACTGTACCTTCCAGCAAACTTATGGTGTCACTCTTACTCTACTGCAATAGCCTCTTAAGTAGACAAAAACACAGCAAGGAAATTGCTAACGTAAACCAGAACAAATCCAAGTTAAATATACTAGACATGAAAGGCATGAAATTATCAACAACTCCTCTGGGGATTCTTCATGTTTACCATATCCACTAACAGCTCTTTCATTGCAAATAGTTAGTACTTTGGAAAACACATCAGGTATCTTGGCCTACGCAGTTAATTATGTCTGGTTCAATAAACCTGAAGTTTCTGTGAATGTTTTGCAAAATCTTGTTCTAACTGCTGACGAGTCCTAGCAGATCCCAGGAACGCAGTCTTTCCAGAAATTTGTGAGACATCGCCTTTAGACCCTAAAACACCTCTGGCAGTCTGACTTCATATCACTTGTCTCCTCCTTCTCTCAGGTATTTTAAAAAGCAATATTCCCAATTCCCCGAGTGCTACCTCAGCCAATTCTCCAAGCTGGCATTCAGCCACAGCAGCTACGTGTTTATCAGCACAATTTTTTTCTCAAGCTGAGAAGGGGCACACAGAGCTTTAGCCACAGCCCAAGGGGACGCTCTAACACATCCACGGGCTTCAGCTCCGATACCACATTAGGTAGTTACTGACATTTCATCATTGTCATTCATTTGCCTTATCACACTGTTCTTGCAGAAACCTACCTCCTGCACAAACACTCGATGGTTCAGCTGCTAGGATCTCAATGCAAGATTTCTTGAGAATCTGAAAGATTTAGATAATGGCATTTTTGGTAATCAAACATTTTTATCTATGCTTTACTAATACAGGAAAGTGTGCCCTTTTCTGGGTTTCAGAATACCCAACTTACTGAATCAATGGTTCCTCTTAGGGCATAAAAGCCTCCCGTAACTGGAAAAACATGATCGATGCTGTCAGCAATTGTTGACAGCTGCAAAGAAAGACAATCATAAATCACGAGGAAAACAAAATTACAGTGAACAAAACTGGGCCCTTTCATACTTGCCAAAAGACATCACACTGACACAAAATTATTTACACCTCAAGTAATTAAATAAATGCCTTGATCTGGTGCTGTTACTTGTGAAGTAGTATAACAGGAAAAACAAAACAAGAAGAAAGCAAGCAAAGTTACCTGAGTTTCATTGAAATCTTTCACTCCAACACAATACACAATAGCTCCAAGGCTTCTGGCTCTGTTGGCCTAAATAAAAAAAAAATTGCCATTAAATGCAAAGCCATATAATCAGTGGAGCCAACAGTAAATGCCTACACGTTTGGCATAAGGTAGCTTGGGTAAACGTGAAGGTGACTTACTTCTTGTTCTGCATAATAAAACTGAACGTCTTGCAATTCTCCATCCGTCAAAGCAATAATCACACTAGCGGTCCGAACTCCTACATGGAGGATAGTTAACAGATTGCATACATATGACAAGACGCAGCAATGAAAAAGTTTGAAGTGAGGCATTCCTTTTTGCTGACAAATAAATACCAAACTGTAAGGTCAGAATCTCAGCCCGATTTGTATGGACTTTATTGGAGATACATCAGCTGAAAGCAAGATGCATAATAGAATGCAATAAGCCAAAACCTGTGCACCTTCATACCACAAGCATCACTGAAGCAGGAGTACTGCTCTAACAAGGTCCATGCACAAACTTCTCTGTTCTGCGTAAAATATAGCACCTACTGAGATAACCTCTAGACCCTTCGTGTGGAGAAGTGGCAAAATGGATCTGCAGAGAGGGAGAGGTTTCCTCCCTTCTCTTGACCAACATCTCTCTACACAAACCTTGCCCAGAGATTGTCATAAGAGATACCTCTGCAAAATGAGCTTTCCTGCCATCCCACCTTCCCCTCCAGACTTTCAAGGAGCAACCCCACTGAACATGGCATGAAATGTGCTTCCTATAGGGGATTCAGTCCTACACTTCTCGAGCAACAAGAGCTGTCAGTGAAGTTCATAGGAATTCAGAGCATGTGAAAACCTTAAGATCAGCTCCACTGGAGAAAATTCATGTCTTAAGACATTTCATATCCCACCTAAGCTTAAGTGAAAATGTTGCATAGACTTTGGATACCTATATATGTAATGCAGTATAGAATATAATACTACCTAGAAAAATGCAACATGTGAACAAAATTAAACCAAATTAACGTGCAAACTATGGTTCAATCAACCATTCTGCATCCACAGTTCTTAAGCAAACTAACTAATACACATACATGTTACTTTCAGGGAAGTATTTGTTATTTTTTCAAAATAATCTGTTACAACTTCAAGTGTCTTTCCCCGTACTGTCTGAAATTAAAGACTGATTAGTTCTGACAGGTTTCTTATGCCATGCAGTCCTTCCCATGACATGTCAGACACAGACATAAATCTTAAAAAAAAAAAAAATGACCTGCAACTTGGGGGGAAAAAATGGCTTGGATTCCCATATTCCTCATTTTTTTTCCTGCCCAGCATGCTTGAAAAAGGCTGAAAAATTGGAGATCTTATTTTGTTTTCTTTTGAACACTTGCTTTTTTTCCCCTGATATTTTAGCTTGTAAGTCCAGATCTCATCTACTCTTTTTTCCTTCCTAATCAACTTACAAAATAATTGATTAGTTCTTAGCTGTATGTTATGAAGAGGTAAAGTAGTTTTCAGCTGGACTCTTCAGGATTCCTGATTTCACTGGCAGAAGTGTCTGAGAAGCCATGCAGAGTTGCTGCTGAAGACTCTGCGCTCACAGCTTATTTTATTAAAAGGGCACTGACTCGTTTCTCCATCTTCTAAAGAGACCATCAGCCCACAAATGATAACTACCTCACACCAGGGTACAAACGAGCCAAGTAGTGTTCAGTTTAACTAATTCGACCTTCTTTTGGCACAAACAAAACCCACACATTTCCCTCTTGAAATTTAGTGAGGATTTACATTTTAGGGAACTCAGAATCTGATCCCAAATCATTCACACTGATGCAGAAATCTTAGCTGATTACATTCATACCTACACTAATGAGAACAAAGACTTGGGCACACAAGGCAGACAGGGCTGAGTGCATCAGGACAGAAGGGCTCAGGAAAATCTGGGTATTCCTGTCCCCTGGGTGCGGGACAGGCAGTTCTGGCTGTAATGCTTTGGTTTGTATTCTGGACTGGGTCAGATCTGTGATCATACTGGTCTTCTCTGGTCTTAATAAACCATGAATCATGCATTTAAAGTTAGAGCTGTAGTCAAAATGGAATGTAGTGATTGTGTAACACCAATTTCTTCTCCAACACTTCTCTTGGCGGGTTTACTGCAGGTCATATAAAGAACTATCATCCCTGTCTTTTCAATGCAGATATATAACATGAGTGATATACAATGCCTACCTCCATAGGTTTCATGGTAAATCTGCTCATTTGCCTGCAACGAAGTGTAGAACATTGTTAGCTCTTAAGTACAGCAGCAGCAAGCAAAGCAAAGTTTATACGTATAAATCAAAGAAAGGAGGTACTGTGATGTGTACCCTTTTAAATCCTTCATGCATGAACGTGTCTCCTCCAGGCACTTCATACTGAAGAATATCAAGCCCTCGTCTTATGGCTTCCCTTTGGATAAGAAAAAGCAGGAGAAAATAATTTTAATAAAAGTTCTGTTTTGTTGAGATATTCCCATACCACAGCTAGATTATGCACCCTGTCAGTACGCTGCACAGAGTGCATACACACCAGCTAAAACATTGGTAAAACCAAGATTTTTCAAAAACCACAATTTTTCACCCATGGGAGCACAAAACTGGACATGTAATACAATGTTAGAGCTAACACATTTTAAGGGTGCAATTCTGTCCCTGCTCCCTCATTCTGGTACACTGTTAGGCAGGATAAGATTGAACTAAAGCAAATGCCAGATATTAAACTCTGACAAACTGCAGACGGAATGAGAATTTAAAAACTTATGACCCTGTCATGAAAACGGGACAAATAAAAACTCCATATTCAATCAATCATCAGGACAGTTGGGACTGGGACTTTGCCATGACAAAGACAGAGGCCAAAAGATAAGAGAACAGGACAGGAATGATGAGAATTTCCTATCCTAGACCAGGGACTGATCAACCTTCCTGCAGCACAGACTGCTCCCTGATAAGAGATGGACTTTGATACCATGACCCCTGTTGCTTAGCTTCTTGCTCCACAAACACTTATCTGTTAACCAAAAGGATGGCTCAGGGAAATCAGTAATTTAATTTATCACTGATCACTAAGAGACTCTGATTCTTAGCAAAGTTTTCATATATTAATGGAACACAAATAAGGCCAAATCACAAAAAAAAAATATTCAACAGACAAGATGTAGGAAGTCCAAACATCAGCCCCAGATGCTATGGGGCATCCTATATTAAAAGGACAGTGAGAGCCTCTCTAAGCTCCATTTTGCAACTGGCCATTTTAGGCAGCACAACCCAAATTACAGAGGAAACGGGAGTCTATGCGGGATGAAGGTAAAATCAGGAGCTGGGATAGGGGATGTCCTTAGGGCAAAAAACCCACATTTTTACCCTTTCAAAGTATAAAATGAGCTGAAAAGGTACACATGGTGATCCATACAGAGAACAGGAGTTTAGGAGAAGGAACATTCTAACACCATGTTCAACATATTGCCACAGGGTTCCTGCCTACTTTCCACCTTGCAAAGAGCAAACCCACCTAGGAGAAGTAAGCAAGTTTGAGCTCTGTCACCAAGGTACAAGATGGAGACTCGAGCCAAAACTCAGTGGAGCCAGCAGAAATGCAAGACCACTAGTGGGGTTTCTAGCTTTGGATGAGGCCCTGGAGTACAAAATGGAGATGGGGCTTGTTCTTTCAAGATGGCTCCAGAGCCTCCTTTATTTATAGGGTGCACTGTACTATCGAGGCCCTCTCACACAGGCAGAAGCAGTAGCAAAAGCAAGGGCTTTAAGCTGAAAGAAAATACTCAGAAACACCTCCATGACAGGGATTTCCATGTGTGAGGCGAATTAAACTCAATTTTTTTTTTTTTTGGGGGGGGAGGGTGTAGGCAGATTTTTGGTGATTTTTCTGGGTTAGGTTTTTTTTTGTTGTTGTTGTTGCTTTTTTGGGGGGGTGTTTGGTTTTTTTTTGGTTTTTTTGTTTTGTTTTGTTTTTGAAAGAGGATTTGATTGTGAAGGTGGCAACACGAATTTTGCTGCAGCCTCAGACTTTCTTTTTCTTAAGAAGCCTAGTGCTTGGCTGTGCAAACCACCTCTGGCATGGGTGCTGTCTGAAGGCACCCCAGGAGAGAGGTGCGATAGCCTGGCAAGGCAGTGCTCCAGCACTAGGTATGACCGGCTGCTGGCATAAAGTTCAGGGCTTCAGGCCACTTCAAAGGGCACTGTGGGACTTTCCTACAGTCTTTTGCTCATCAACTCAGGGTCTGAGATCTCTTACACAAAAACTGCCCTTATTTGGGTAGGGGGACATACATGAATCCTTGAGGACAGCAAGGACATACATGAATCCTTGAGTGGAGACACAGTTTCTCCCTGAAATACTGCAAGAAAGAACAGACAGTCCAGTGCTGCCTTTCTCTTATAAGGCTGAAAAAATGGTAATGGGAGACTCAAAGGCCTTCTAAGCCCTCTTCCAGTTGGGAATGGTGCAAAAGATTTCAGTTGGTACCATACCAAGGATCAAGACAGAGCTCTGAATTCTGGTTTTGGGGCCACTTGCTGCTTGAGAGGAGGGATGGAGGGTATTTCTGGAGGAAGCTGTGGAGTACTTGCCTGTTTTCTGTTAGTTTCATGACTGTAGTGCCTCGTGAAGAGAAAACGATGAAAGACATCCGCAACATTGGACTGAAACAGAAGAACAAGCTAGATGCATGTCACAGACACACATTACTTCAGCAGATTTTTCATTTGCTAAGAAGCAGTGAATGAAAAAATAAATTACATATATAGCAAATTAAAATATCATCTTAAGAAAACTTTACCTTATGAACTTCTCAGCTAGGCTTTCCACAAAAGAATAAATCTCTGTCCAATGATTTCTGACACTTCCAGACCTGCATACAAAACGTAATTGATTACATTTATCTTATTTCACAGCAAAATTCCTTGTTCCACTCTGAATTTTAAGCCTGGGCTACTCCAAAGGTGGTTAAGGACACAAATTCCATATAGGCCTATGGAGGCGAGGCAGCTAACTCTGCTGAGGCTTCTACAGCAGTTGTGTTGGAAGCTATAACAGGAACCATCATGACAAAACCCACTGACTCAAACAGAAGTAGAAATAGGTCTGAAATGGTTTACCACACAATTTCAAAACAAGTTCAGCAACTCTTCCATCTGCTTTTGTTCCTTTTATAACATGAAATATAAATATTTTCTTCTAGTTTAATTAATTTTATTTGACTTCACTAAATCATCTGCTAGCAGATTATTTACTTTCCTAGAGCACAGTTCTGTCTTTGCAGCCACACAAAGTCTTGACTGATCTCCTATTCTCCCAGAACGCGTGGGAGAATGTTTCCATGAATTACTGTTTGTTTCGAGAGAGAAAGCTTTTGAAGTAACTCCGAAGGGAAAGGCAGTGCTCTTAGCTAATTCGCTGGACTAGCATTCTGGACAGTCAATCCCTGGCTCTGTCACAGATTTCATGTGAAAACTTGGGCAACTTAGTTACGTGCACAAACTTACACATTCGTGCTGCCGTTTCCAATATATAAAACCGCATTACTGGCACTCCCTGGCTTTCTTCCGCTTAGTCTTAAATTCTCAGGGACACCCCCCAGTCTGGTGGGACTCACACCTCAAACACAGCCTCATATGCAGCAACTCTACAGTAAATGACAAGTGGTTTCAACCATGTGGATCTATGCCATACACTTTCAAGCCTTTTAAAAGGCTAGAAAGCATGAGAAGTCAATGATTTTAAAAGCCATCCCTAGGACTGTGGTGTTTACGAGAGAACAGCTCATCTGCTTTCCTTGCCAGACAAACTCATGTATCAGGTATCTTAGGCAGAAAGATAAATAAAACAACAGCACATACAGAAGGATCACGGGGCTTAAATGCAGAAGAACTAAAAAATTTCTGAAATTTAACTATTGTAAAGCAGTAGGTTTCCTCTAACTGCTGTTGGGCGTTTTTCTGTGTAAATGGATAAAAAAAAGGGGAGAAAATGATCCCATGTTATAATTCTCAGTTCTACTATGGGCTTTTCAAGCAACTCTATGCCAGTCACTTCTGCCCCTGTACATGAGGTACAGATCAGCATACAGAAGCCTGCATAATATGGCACTGCCTGTCCTGAAACGGTGCTGGTGTAGTGGAGGAGAAGAGCAAAGATAAAGGGACAAGGACCGAAAGGAGACCCCTGAAGTACATAAACTAGAATAAGCTTCCTTGTGTAACCCTGTGCTTTCACGCTGCTCTTCTGGAGAACTGGTGATTCATTCACAAAACAAACTGGTTATCACAGAATGAAGAAATTGCCAGGCACTGAGGGAGGGCAACAAAGCACCAGAGACTGCTCGAACCAAGGATCTGGATCCTCTGCAGTCTCCGATTTATATGCACTAGGCAACAGATGAGACATGATTATTCATGAACAGCACCAATGAAAGGTGCTGGCACTATTAGCAAATGAGCACTTTTCACATCATTAAAAGATAATCCATGCAGATGTGAGGTATGTACTTTAAGCACTGCTTTTCCAGAAGGGATGTGAGGCAGTCCAACACCTATAATTCTGAAAGTCCCAGACTAAATCTCGAAGCATGCTAAACTCAAACGCATTTTCCTTTAATCTATGCAAGATGCATTTACCACTCCCATTTTTTTTTTTTTAATTCTTTCCCTCACTGGAGTTGACACTTCCAGTTTCATTCTGAGCTTGCCATCTCAATTAAATCCAATTCCTGCAATTTCCAATAGAGTCACTTCCCTACATAGAATAGCCACAGTTTCTTACTTGGAAAAGTCTGACCTATTTTAGATGAGGTATCAAATTTCTACTGCCAGCTGCAGAGGCACTGATGCAATCCAAAAAAGAAAGTAGCAACGAATTTTCTTTATAACAGCAACAAATTATCATTTCCAGTACCTTCTTAGGACTGTCATAATTACCGCCCTCCCCTTTTTTTATCTACCCTTCAGGCAAAGAACAGCTTGGCAAAACAGCCTAAACACTGAAAATTCAAGAAAATCATAAGCCACTTAGTGGTGGAAAAACATGAACACTTTTAAAGTGAAAATGCACAGATAAACTTAATACTGTGCACTTCCATGTACTCTGACTATAATGAAACACCCCTTCTTGGAAAGGGTACAGCCAGTGAAACTAGAAGTAACTAGAATTGTCTGTAACAAATCTACAGATGCCCCCCTCTGAAAAACTAGGGAGGTCTCTGTCACAGGCTCGACCTCACGGGAAGCATACTGTGTTCTCAGAGCAGCCGGCTCTACACCACTGAGCTGCAACCCTGTTGAGCAGAGGAACTTCAGCAGGGTGGCACGTCTCCTTCTCCCCGGGAGCAATTCTGCACCCATATGTTGCTTATCAGCTGGGAAGCATCAAGGCCAGACAAGCCATACTAGCAAGAAAATTGTACTGTTTCAAAATCTCATATAAAGAGTACCAGTGAAGTGGTCAGCACTTAATGACTTTCCCCACCACATCCCTCAAAAGACCAGGTGTGTCACCTCCCGCTGCAAATGCCAAGTGCCACTGATGGTGGTCACATCAAACCCCTCATGAACACCAGTGGGGGTGGCCTGGCTTATAGAAGAACCTGATTTCCCACCCTGCCCCCTCAAACTCACCTCTACATATCCCTGTTAATATCCCTGTTTGCAAAGTCTGTCTATTTGTGTTTCTCATATATATATAAAAATATATATCTTTATATTTATAAAAAAAGATATGTATGTATGTTTGTTTGTTTTGGAGGCTTCTGGGGTTTGTCCTGATATAGTTTCACCTGTTGCCCCAGAGACCTGAGCCCAGAAAACCAGCAATGGCAGTTTTAATGGCAGATTAAACAAAATTTACAACAATAAAATGTTTGCTAAGCTATACACTAAGTTGCCAAATGCTATCAAATATTTCTCCCAACACTGACAAACAGAAGCTGCCCAACACTATTGAAAATACTGAGGCATTTCACTGCCTTTGAGATCTTATGTTTCACACTGCAGAATCACTTTTGCTGGCAGCAGAAACTAACTTGCTGCCCTTCATGGCTAGATCAGACTAGGAGGTTTTTGCATTGGTTTCCCATGGCAAGTGCGAGGCTCCAAGCATACTCTAAGCTCCTTTCTGACCATGGCCAATGCTTGAAAGCCATACTCATTTTCAAGTTGACAGTTACCAAGCCTAGAGAAATCACAAGGTCTTTCAGTGATGCTCTAGATCACAGGCTATTCTTGGACATGCACACAGCATGATTTTTACAGCAGTTTCAGTGCTTTTGTTGTTTCCCTTAGAACCTTACAATAACTAAGAACAAAACGCCTGAATCAGCATACCTGTGCTAATAGGAGCCTCAGACAAAGCTGGCATGTTGTCTCGCATTGCCATTGGTAAATAACTACAAACAGATTCCTTGCCTGGTGTGTTTGACCCTCAAATGATACACTCCTGTAAGATTTCAGAGGAACTGTGAAGAGTTCTAAGTAATGAGGAAACATTTATAAACAAAGCACAAAAGAGCAGCACTGTGCAGAAAAATCACTGGGTGCAAGACACAAACTTGTCCACCCTCACCAGTAACTGGGGGAGGTCATGCAGCCAGGGAACCTTACGCATCCTGCCGTGGAGGATCCTGGATCCTGCCGTGGATCCTGCCGTGCCAGCGCTGTGGCTGTCCGCAAATAAAGATGATGTTACAGCCAGATCTATCTTGTTGGCTCATGCCTTCGGGATTTCCTGCTTTTCGGGTCATCAGCTACCTGGTTCAACTCCTCACATCAAGCAAAATGGCCACTGTCACCCAGCCCAGCTGCAGGCTTCTTCCTTGCACTCTCCCTGCTGAAGAAGCCCAGTGAACCTGACATTCTCTGCAAAGTACCAAGCCCCACCAGCCAAAGACCTTGGTGGATAGTGACCCACAGCATCAAGCAGTACGTGTGCCTTTCACAAGCGGGACAGTGAGGTTTCAGCCCTGGGAGGTTACATAATTCTCATGGCGAAGGAAAACGCAATGCAATAAACAGCTGTTGTGGGTAACTGGAGTGCTGCAGACAATATTTTAGGGACTGTTTCTGCTGCCGGTTCCACTGGGGTGAACATGGAGTGGGTCCAGAGAAATAGCAGAATTTCCCCAGGTTCATACCTATGCAATTGGGAAGAGAATTAGGCCCAAGCAAAGTGAAAAAACTCACAGGAGTCATTTGTCGTGAGTGTGCTCCCTGCTCCATGAGCTCTGTTCCCATTACACACGAGACAAAGAGAAGAGTCAGCAAACCACAACATAGGAAGGAATGTGCTCCAGGCCTCATCGGGACTCAGCTTGGGGGAGCAGCTGCTGCTGCAGCTCCTGCTTCGGCTGTTTTCCTGAATGTCACATTGCTACCACTTGATGGGAGGGGAAAAGAAGAGGTCAGTGAGTATTTCTGGGGGTGGAAGGAAGTGATGTGATTGCAAGGCTTGATTCTGCTCCTGCTTACTTTGGAGCGACTCCTTCTAGCTTAGTAGAGCGCTCTGTCAGTATGAAAATGGTGAGGTTAGTCTCATATCTGCCTCAATCTGTGGGATTTCACTGCTGTTTGAGAAGACGACAAAGCATGAGACAGGCTGGAAATCTCCTCTTCATTCCTAAAAGGCTCCCAGAGGCAGTGGAAGCTGGAGCCCAGAGAAATCAAGCAGCACAACCCTGGCATATGGGGTGCCACTTTCAGCCCAATTACTTCAGCAGGCAAAAACCAGGAGGGTCAGTTGTAAGGTGTCTGTCCTAGGACTTGTGTGATTCAGTTACAGTGAAAGTCACAGTCAGGAGCTATACAGATCAACCTGATGCAATACACATCAGACCTGCAGCTTAGCAGTGAAAGTTAATACCCC